AGGTGAGGATGTCAGACGGCCCCGTGCCTGACCTGCCAGGGGGACGCAGAGGGGCAGGGAGCGCAGAGGCCAGGAAGGAGTCGAGCGGAGGAGAGGAGCCCGGAGAATCCAGCAGCCATTCCTGCTCACCCGCTCCGGGCGCGGGTGTGGGTGGTGCCACAGCCCCGGGCGCTTGGGGCCGGGCAGCGGAGTGGAGGTGCGGTGCCGGCAGCCCCCAGCCGAGGCCCGCCGCAGGGACACAGTGCCGCGGCCTCCCCGGGCCAGTCCCGCTTCCGTCTCTGTCCCTCCCGCCCTCCCAGCCTCTGGGCACCAGGGCTTGAGTCTCGTGGCCGCCAGGGCTGAGGGCGGAGGAGCCTCCGGCACGGGGCAGGGTGGCTGCCAAAGCCGTGGCCCCGGGGTGACAGCTGACGTCTGTCCAGGAGCATCTCTCTCCCTGCCAAGGATTGAGCTCTCTGGGCCGCATGCCTTCCCTCTGACACAGGAGCCGGCCTTTGTCCCTCAGAGCCACCCGCCGCCTGGACCCCAGCTTTGGCCCACAGCAGCCTGGGGACAGCTGTGGCCCCTCTCGGGCCTCCCTCTGGAGGAGGCTGCCCTGTGCCACGCCAGGCTAAGGCCCACTTCAGGCAGCTGGGGAAGACCCCACACGAGGGGCCCAGGAGCCCCAGATGCCAAGACTGGGCTTCGAGAATGGTGGGGAAGCCACTGCCTGGGCCCAGACCAAACCGTCATGTCCTGGGGCTTGCCAGAGAGGAGGCTGAGGCTTCCCAGCTTAGGGTGGGTGTCGCAGCCTTTCTCCCTCCACCAGCACATCCAGGGCTCCTGCCGTGCCAGCTACTGAGTTGGGTCCTGGCTGCATGGTGACGAGACCAGCCATGAACACTGTCCTCAGGTTGCTTTCTTGTAAGAAGCACATCTCCATCACTCCCCACTGCGCACATGGGTGCCCACCCAAGATACATACCTATCTGAAACTGGTTTCACACAACAACACTCATCCTTCCCACAGAGAATATGCTGACATTATTTTTAAGACAGCTGCTGGTGACCCACTACACTGGGATGTGGCCTGCCCTCCGAAAAACCTCTGTCTGGTTGGGGAAAGATGTTTAAACAAGTGTCACAGGAGGTTAGGGTGGACTGCTTCTGCCCCACTTTTGACCAAGGGACCAACGCCAAGGGTTTCAGGATACCAAACCCCATGTCTCTCATATGCAGATGGGTTTCAAGGGAAATGGTGCTGGACACTGGGACCCCACAGCCACGTCAAGGATATAAGAAGGGGTCCAAGAGAGTGGAGGGCCGAGGGGAGCTGTGGGAGGGTTTCTTTGGAAACAACTGTCACCTGTTGTTTCTAGGACACTGTGGCTTTCCATCGGTGGCAGGCCTGTGTGGGGTGGGCCAACCTCTTGCCCAGGTCCACGGGGGCCCTTCTTGGAGAGCTTTGACACGTGGGAGACATGGAGGATGGGGCCTCGCTGGGTCTGAGGAAGCTCAGGTGGACGGGTGACGGGGCCTGACTGCCTGGGACATGGAGGAGGGTCGTGGGCCAGCTGCTCTGGTGGTGGCTGTGGAGCAGGCTGCGGCTGGGCATGGCCGCACCCCAGTGTGTGTGTGTTGGGGGCAGGGAGGCAGGTGCTCTGAGTGCTTCTCCTGGACCAGAGGTGACGGGTGGCAGAGAGAGGCCGGTGTGTCCCACCACAGCAGGGCTGCCCGAGGGTCGAGGGGCGTGGAGGAAGAGGCTGTGGGGGGACTCACAGGTGGGGGGCAAAGGAAGGGGTCCCAGGGGCCCCTGGAAGAGAGCACACCTGTGGGGCTGAGGAAACTGCCGGGAGAAGGCTCAGCAAGGAGTCTCCAAAAATCCCACGGACACCCCGAGAGGGTCCCCTTGAGCTGCCTGCCTCGCGTGGGGAGGAGCCGCGCAGCGTCCCCATCTCTGTCTGTGGGATCGGCAGTTTCGGACCCAGGCTGAGATAATAGTTGCAGGGTGGCTGTAGGCTGCTCTTTTATCCAAGCCTGAGCCCAACGGCCACAGAATCGGCCACAGGATCAGCCCTGTTTTCATCCAGGGTTGGGGCAAGATTGCGTCCACTGAGTAAAATGGAATAAAACGGACTTCGCAGGTGTTTGCCATAAGGGCTATTAAGCGCTGTGACAAGGGCAGTACCTAGGGTGGGGACAAGTGATGGGGAAGGGGGTTGGGCAGTCAGGGAAGGCTCCCGGCGGAGGTGATGTTAGGATGAGGCCCCCGGGCTGAGCAGAGCGGAGGCCAGTGTTCCAGGTGCAGGGAACAGCAGTGGGCAGGACCTCGAGGAGGAAGAGCCTGGGTCCCTGAGGGTTCGAGTGAGAGGCGGTCACAGAGGTCAGCGGGGCTGGAGGCCAGGGCACCGCTTGCCTGGACCCTGAGGCAACAGGAAGCCCGTGAAGGCTGCTAGCCAGGAGGCCGCCGTCTTGGATGAAAACACTCCAGTAGCTGAGCCGTTGGAGGAAGGGAAGCCCCTGAGCCCCTTTCAGCGGCAAGTGAAGGACGCGGACAAGGCAGCGCCAGCAGGGCCCAGGGCGGGCGAGGGGTGGAGCAGGAGGCTGCGGTTGAAGATGGAGCCGCTGGGGGGCTCCACGTGCCGGCCTGGGGCGCAGTGGAGGGAGCTGGACTCCAGATCAAGACTGGACTCTAAGCGTGGCCACAGGAGGGGGGCAAGGGGGGTGCAGAGGGTGTTTCCTGCTCTCTTTCCCTGGACGCGGGCCCAGGGTCATTCAGTCAGATCCCGGGGGATGTGCCCCCTGAAGGAGGCGATGGCAGAGCCTGGAGGAAAGCCTGGAAAACGCCCCTAGGGGGGTCTGCTGAGTCAGATGCTGTGGAGTGGACCCCCAAGACAGGGCAGAGAGCCAGCCACAAGGAGGCCTCTGCTGGCTGCGCAGCACTTTTGCCGGGGTGCTGGGGCGCTGGGGTGCTGGGGCGCTGGGCCGACAGTGAGGAGCCAGGGGTCCAAGCCTGTCTTGACACACAGACCATCTGGCTGTTCTCCATGGCCTCCCCCTTCCCAACCTTCCCCATCGTGGGAGCCCCAAAAGGTGGCCCTTGCCCTCTGCAGTGCCCCAGACGGGGGGGGGGTCCTGGAAGGCAGGACCCGAGCACCCCTACTTTTCCTGGACCAGCCACATTCCCAGCTGTTCTGGGAAAACAAGGGGAAGTCCTGTGTGGTTCTCGGGGTCTCGTCCTGCCTCCCCCTGCACCACCACCATCGCCCGGGCTGGTGCAGGAGGAGACCTCCTCTCGGGCTCGGTGGGCCTCTACCTCCGCCCTTGTCAAATCACAAGAACAGACCCAGGCCAGGTCATGTAAGCCATTTATTGGTTTGTTTTAAAAATATGTATCTTATTTATACACGGAGTTTGGTGAGAAGTGCTCGATTAGCTCAGACAACAGCCGGCACTCGACATCCCTCCTTTTCCTACCCTCTTCTCCCCTCCTGCTGGTCATCATGCAGTTCTGGAAAAAAAAAATGAGAGCCACGCTAAAAGCTAAGGAGTGGGGCCTAGCTCACCCTGTCTCAGCCACAGCCCAGGGCACCTGTCTCAGGGTTCCCGGGCCGGGCCTGCGGGCGCGCGCGCGCGCGCACGCACGCACACACACACACACACACACACACACACACACGAAACCACAGCCCCCTTCCGGCCAGCCGGCCTGCCTCCCAAAACGCATTCCCGCCCCTGCAGTGGGCGCTGAGTACCAAGGAGGGGCACACGCCGCTCCAAGCCTTGAGAGCAAAGCACAGAGAGCTACAAAAATATGATTTCCACCCGGAGAAGTGTGTCTGGGACAGTCAAACCATGTCCCACGCTGGACTCAAGGGGAACACGGGAGAAGAGAAATCACTGGGGTGGGTGGGGTGGGGGCTAGGGCGGCCACCAAGGGAACTCGGGGCTGACAGAAAGAAACGTAATACTTGACTCCCCGGCAATGCCTCCGCAGCACTGCCGCGAGCTCCCGAACGTCCAGCCCTCCGACAGCTCGGCGAGGTAGGTGAGGGGCAGCGTTTCCAGCTTCCCGGGCTGCCCCGAGGCGGGCGGCGGGCGGCTCTGCCGGGGAGCTGGGGCGGGCAGCCGAGCCCCGGCCTGCTCAGGCTCCGCCAGCCTACACTGTCACTCGGGGGGGGGGGGGGGGGGGGGGGGGGGGGGCGGGGACAGGTCTCTGCATTTAAGGATTTGCATATGCTAAATAGGATTGTCAGCAGCTCAAGAGGCCCTGGGGGTAATTGGACTAGAAAAAGTATTTTTCCCTGAAACAAGGCCTTCTCACAAGACCTGTGGACAGCCTGGACCCTGCCCCAGGTTGTCCTGCGGGTGGGTGCCACCAGGACCCCAGGCTGAGCCCGAGGGGCTGCTCTGGGGCCACAGGGCTCCCTTTCCCAAGGTTGCCCACAGTGCATTCCCCTCCCAGGCCAGGGGAGGGTCTGACCCTCCCAAGCCTCCTTCCCGGTACAGGGCCCACACTCCCCTCTGGGCACCACGCAGGACTCCCCCCACCGCCCACCCACACAACATGGTGAGAGGCAGAAAGGTCTGGAAAGAGAGCTCTGGTCATGACAACAGATTCCCTTCTTCAGATGGGCTGGGGCCTCATGGCCATGGCGGAGGGCTGTTCAGCTTCTTCGCCCTCCAGGCACGGGGCTCAGACTTCTCTTCCTGGCCTGTGGGGCAGGGCCTGCCCGGTTCGGGAGCAAGGACAAGCTGGGGGCCAGGCCATGAGTGGGGCTGGTTCCCTGTGCCCTTCCCTTTACTGTTAATACTCGTGCAGAAGGCCGGGCTCTCCTGGGAAGAAAAGGCAACATCAGCGCCTGGGACCCAGGCCACTCTCTTCTGGAAGGTTTGTGTTTTTGTAGAAATGACCCCAGAATGGCCCGCATGAAAACACAGGGGGCAAACAGGACCCTGGGGACCAGGGAAGGCCAGAGAGAGCCCCCGCTGCCAAGAACCGCTCTGCCTGACACTCGCCCAAGGGAAGCCTGGGTCACCCGCCGCCCGTGTCTGGCCTCTGGGTGAGGACGGTGTGCACACGCCGGGTGAAGAAAGGGGTTGAGCCCTCCTGGCACCGCAGCCCAAGCAGCAGGGGAACCCCTCCTGGCCCCGGGCGGTAGGCCTGCGGGAGCCGCACTGGGTTGCACTTTTGCCTTGAGAACCAGAGTTCCGGCACCTCCACAGACACTCTTGTTCGGAGTGAAGAAAAGGCAGTGCGAACTGCTGCCGAGTCCATGGAAAAACGATTAGTTCTTTGCTCAAGTAAAAAAATATCAAATATAATAAATTTATGAAAGCCCACTCACAACATCTACAGTCTCAGTTTTGGATTTCTCCTCCGCAGCTGGGACGGTGTTGCTTTTCAGAGCCCCGGGGGGTGGTGTGACCGGCCCCGGCCGCCGGCATGTGCGGGGCCTCCAGCGACAGGCCACCCCGCACGGTCAGCTCGGCCGCCCGCTTCTGGCCGTCAGCGTGGGCGCCACAGAACTCTGCCTTGTCGGCCCGCGGGGCTGAGGCCCATCTCTCACAGCCCGAGGCCGAAGCAAGGAAGGGCCCGCAGGTGCCGGCTTGTGGCCGCGGTCACGCTGGCTACGCTGCCCCCGGCTGCCCCTCGGTGCGTCCTGGCCAGCCGGGCTGGCGCTCACACGATGGACTCGCGGTCCCTGTCTGGGGACGGGGGGAAGTCGGCGAGATCCTCGCTGCGGCTGTAGTCGGACACCCGCACCTGGGGGTTATCGCTGGTGGCCCTGGTGACGCTGTCATAGGAGGGCGGGAAGGACGTGGAGGAGACAGAGGAGCTGGAGGGCGGGCCAAGGCGCCGGGAGAAGTTCTCATTCATCATGTAGGCGATGAGGCCCTCCTGCTCGGGGGCATCCTCATCAGAGAGGCCGCTGCTGCCCGCCTGCTGGCGGAAGAGGAAGGAGGCATGCTTCATGGAGCGCTGCAGCAGGTGCCTCCGGAAGGCCCGCTGGATGATGGTGGCCGACACCTCCTCGTGCTTGCGCCGGAGTGTGGTGGTGATGGGCTCGTAGGAGATCTTGGACGGGTTGGCCGCCATGAATTTCTCTTCCATCTGGATCTTCAGGGCGTCCATCTCCCCAGACTCACCCAGGACCCTCTTGGTGAAGGCAAAGAGGATGTCCATGCAGTGGATACGGTCCCCGCTCACCATGGGCAGGTCCATATTGATGAGACTTATCTGGTTGGGCTTGGCGATGCGGAGCGGCTCGGACAGGGCGTCGGCGAAGTCAGACAGGGCCGAATACTCGATGAACTGGGTGGCCTCTGGGTCGAACTTCTCCCAGATCTCGTAGAACATGTCGAAGTCATCCTCGCTCAGAGGCTCGGTGCTCTCCTCTGTGGCCACGCTGAAGTTCTCCAGGATGATGGCGATGTACATGTTGACCACGATGAGGAAGGAGATGATGATGTACGTGGTGAAGAAGAGGATGCCCACGGCTGGGCTCCCACAGTTCCCCCGGGAGCCATTGCTGTTGGGCAGATTGGGGTCGCAGTAAGGGGGTCCTGTGTTGAGGATGGGGCTGAGGAGGCCATCCCAGCCAGCTGATGTGGTGATCTGGAAGAGGCACAGCATGCTGTTGGCAAAGGTCTGGAAGTTGAACATGTCGTCAATGCCAGCCTCCCATTTGACGTAAGCGAAGTTGGCCATGCCGAAGATGGAGTAGATGAACATGACAAGGAAGAGCAGCAGTCCTATGTTGAAGAGGGCGGGCAGGGACATCATGAGGGCAAAGAGCAGGGTGCGGATCCCCTTGGCCCCTCGGATCAGCCTGAGGATGCGGCCGATTCGGGCCAGGCGGATGACTCGGAAGAGCGTTGGGGAGAAGAAGTACTTCTGGATGATGTCTGAGAGCACAGTACCTATGGGAAACAACACAGACCGTGGCCACCCAAGCCCTTCTGTCCTCCCTCTAACCCCGTATCACTGGATGGGTCTCTGTACGGCAAGGAGCTAAGGAGAGGAGGCCCTTTCAGGAGGACTGGGTCGACGGGGGCATGCAAGGACCCTGTGTCCTCCCACCCCTCTGGGTCTCCATTTCTCATCTATGATTCAGAAAATGAAGACCCACAGTACCCACACTTTTGCAAAGTGTCTTTCCAGACCTCTTGTCCCTTAGCCTTCTGAGAATACCTGCACAGTAGGGCCCATCTTCTACATCCTGGGTTCTGAGGCCTCAAGGGGCTTGCTCAGCATTTGGGTGGCCTAGCTTGGACCAGAACTCGGGCTTTGCAGCTCCTCATTACTCAAAGTGTGGTCCGAGGGCCAGCAGCCCTGGGCTCTCCTGGGCTGGTTATCAGAAATGTGGACTCTTAGTTTAACCTCCAGTCCCACTGCATTTTAATAAGCCCAGATGATTTGCTGCTCACTGAAAGGCAAGAAGCACTGGTCCACAAGTCCGTGTTCTCCACCATGCCACGACTGTCACAACTAAGCCTCTCTGAGATCATTCCTGTCACCTTCCCAACCCTGCTAGCTTCTGGGGCTTCCCACCCCTTGGTCTCTATTGACAACTCCGGGTTTGGAGTTTTAAGAAGCAGGCATATAAGTTATAGGAGAAAGAGTGAAATAAACTCTGCTATGTATTGGCCCAAGTGACCTTTCCAGACTCCTCATGTGTCACCAGCTGTCATGTGTCATGTTTACTGTCAATAAGCCACTGGGCTGAGCATTTTATATCCATCCATTTAGCCCTTCCGGTCACCCGAGGAGGTAAGCGGATACCATCATCCTCATTTTCCAGAAGAGGAAACTGAGAAGTGAGGTAACTGACCCAAGCTGTCACCTCATCAGTGAGACTTTGGGATTCGACTCAGACCCTCTGGCTCCAAGTTGAGCTGTTAACCAAGCCTCTCCAGTCCGGCCAGGCACCAGGACCAGTAGGTGCTCCCGAGGTACATGCTGCACCTCCTTCCAAAGCTTCCTGACACTGCCCCTCATCAGCCCCTCGAGGCTGCCGACATCCTGCATTCTCTAAAGCCTCTCTCCAGTCCCACCGGGCATGCACACCCTCACCCCTGTCTGGCACCTCCCAGAGCATTTCCTGACCCTGAGTCCAGCTTCGAACCATCTGTCTGTCACCGTAGCTATGGCAGCCCCTGCCTCTGCCTGCCCCCTCGTTTCCCTCTGAAGTCACTGAATGCACAGGTTGTATGTACATGGCAGAAAGAGGAAAGTCAGCCACCCCATGGCAGAGTTTCATGGGGGAGGGGGTCAAGAGTTTGTTGCTGAGCACAAGCAACAAAAGAAAAAAAATATTGATAAATTGGGACTTAATCAAAACAAAAAACTTTGTGCTTCGAGAGACAGCAACCAAGAAAGTAACAAGACAACCCACAGAATGGGAGAAAATATTTGCAAATTGTGTATCAGATAAGGGACTGGTGTCCAGAATATATAAAGAACTCTTACAATTCAACAATAAAAACATAAGTAAGCCAATTAAAAAATAAGCAAAGGATTTGAATGGACATTTCTCCAAGACATTTCTCCTGTTATAGACCAAGACATACCATGGGAAGTGACCAATAAGCACATGAAAAGATTTTCAGCATCATTAGTCATTAGAGAAATGCAAACCAAAATCTCAACGAGATGATTACTTCATACCTGCCAGGGTGGCTATGTAAAAAATTATAGATAGTAACAAGTGTTGGTGGGGATGCGGAGTCACTGGAACCCTTCTACATTGATGGTGGGACTATAGAATGGTGCACCTGCTTTGGAAAACAGTTTGGCAGTCTCTCAAAATTTTAGATGGGTGGTTTCCAGGGGTTGGGGAGAGGGAAAATGGGGAGTGACTGCTAAAAGGATGCAGAGTTTCTGTTGGGGGTGAGGGAAAGAGTCTAAGATGAGGTGTAATGGTGATGGTTGCACAAATCTGTGAATATACTAGCAACTACTAAATCATAAACTTTAAAGGGTAAATCTTATGGCATGTGAATTTATCTCAATAAAATTGCTATTTAAAAAAAGGAGACCCCTGGATGGCTCAGTCAGTTAAGCGTCTGACTCTTGTTTTCAGCTCAGGTCATGATGTCAGAGTTGGGAGATGGAGCCCCATGTTGGGCTCTGCGCTGAGCATGGAGCCTGCTTAAGATTCTCTCTCCTCTCCCTCTGCCCCTCCCACCTCCCTGCTCTCGTGCTCAGTCTATAAATAAATAAATAAATAACAAAAATAAGAAAAATAAGAGGGATTGAGCCCTGAGGTCAAACAGACGTGGATGTGTGCTATGGTTTGAATGTTTGAATCTCCCACCAAATTCATATGTTGAAATCTCAACTCCCAAAGATGATGATGTTAGGAGGTGAGACCTTTGGGAGGTGCTTTGAGTGAGTGAGTGGGATCAGTGCCTTATAAAAGAGACCCCAGAGAGCTCCCTTGCCCCTTCTACTTTGTGAGGACACAGCCAAGAGGGTGCTGGTTATGAACTAGGGAAAGGACCCTCACCAGAAGACATGACCATGCTCGTGTCTCAGTCTTGGACTTTCCGCATCCAAAACTGTGAGAAATGAATTTCTGGTGTTTATGAGTTACGCAGTCTGGTGTTTGGTTATAGCAGCCTGAACAGACAGAGTGTGAATCCTACCTCTTCTGTTCCTGGTTGTATGATCTCCTCGCCTCAACGTAGACTTTAAAAGTTCAATTGCCTGAGGTGGGTGATATCTGAAGGAATCTGGCACACAACCTTGGTGGCTAGACTCTAGAATTTTCCATCTCCAGGGACCACTTCTATCCTAGAGGGCCACCTGCTCCCATCCCTGGAGACTCGCCTCACCCTGAGAAATCCTCTTCCTCCTTTAACCTTTCCTTTGGGAGGGCAAGGAAGTCTGCCCAGCCCCCACTCCCTTTTCCAGATTCATCCCTGAAGCTCTCACAGAGAGCTGAGAGCTGTGTCCTAGGGTCCCATGGAGGGGTTGCTGGCTCGTCTGTCAGGATGGGCCCCTTGGCCTGAGTGGGCCTTCCTAGACAAGTTCTCTGTGGAGGGTGTGTGTGGAGGGGCGGGGGGGGAGAGGTATGGAACGTAGAGAAAAGAACAAAGGAGCCTAGTACACTTGGCATTAAGTACAGACCCAGGACTGGAGGAAAGGCCAACTTGCATACCCACCCACAATGGAGAGGATGACAACCACAAAGTCGAAGATGTTCCAGCTGTTGGTGAAGTAATAGTGGCGCAGGGCAGCCATCTTGATGATACACTCGCCCGTGAAGATGGCTACGAAGAGCAGGTTGATCTTGGCCAAGATGTTGACCTTCTCAGGGCTCTGGTCATCTGTCTCCACCATCATGGTCACCATGTTCAAGCAGATGAGAAACATGATGGTGACGTCGAAGGCCTGCTTGGTCACAATGTCGAACAGGAAGCCCTGGTACTTGTTCTGAAAGGAGGGGTCAAGGATGGGCTCAGCGGGGGCCTCAGGCAGGCCTGTTGCTGCCCCTCGGCCCAGACCATCCACCCTGCTACTCCACCCTCTAGTGAGACTGTCGGGGTGAGAGGAGAAGTCAGGAGGCTGAAACAGCCTGGCTCTCCTGCGTCCCTCTTCCCTGAAGTCTTCTCTGAACCTTCAAGAAGGGATTTCTCCTACCCAGAGCTTCCCTAGCACATCATCGTTCTCTTTTTGTTCCCACTGTCTGACGGCTCAGGGTCAAATTTAAAGTTCAACCCTAGTAATTGGATCAGTCCTCAGGTTAACAAATTTTCTCCACCCTTTATGGAATTGATTTTGTTTATTCTATTAACTATATTTATGTGTCTTTAATTGTTAGCCACCTCAGATTATTTGGGGAAAGAAAAAATTATAAATAAGTGAACACACAGGCGCATACACCACTAACCTAGTACAAAGCGTGGTGAAAGGGTAATTAGATAAAATTGATGAACTGGATTAAAAACCTGGGACTGTCACTTCCTAGCTAGTGATTTGGGTTATGTCACCTAATTGAGTAGTGACCCCCTCCCCACTTTTTTGGAGAATGGCTTGGTCAGGCAAGGGAGTCAGCCTCGCAGGGGACTGAGTGTCCCTCCTGGCGCCACCTGCCAGGGGACTCTGGCTGCGTCTGTCCCGCTCAGGGGTTGCCAGGAAGAGGCTGTGAATGGGGGTGGTGGGCCTGCAGAGGCTGCCTTGCTCTCGATGGGAAAGGCTGCACTCTGACAGTGGAGGAGGGTGCGCTCAGAGGAGAGGGACTCCTTGCGGGAGGGAGCGCTCCTGGTTGGAACAGACGCCCATGCCTTCCTCACTTTCTCCAGGAGGCTGAGGCCTCTGTGTGTGGTCAGGTGCCTGACAGCGCCCCTCTGTCCCTGCACTGACTGAGGGCCCTGGGCCAAGCTGAATGATTTTCTTCTTTTTTGGGAATTACATTTCAGGAGCAGTTTTACCTTCTTTCATTCTTTTACATTAAATACTATCAGATTAAAAATGCCAAAATGAAAATGCTCATATGAAAATATTGTATATCATATTTTAAAGAATATCGATTTTTCACAGCCCTATTTTCAACACTTCCTCATTCTCTTTGAATGGATCAAATGCATATTAAGTATTCTTTGTGGTCTTCCTGGCACTTTTCCTAGCCTTTTGGGTTCAAACCCCACTCCTGACATTGGCAAACTGTGGTACCATAAAGAAAGGATAAGCAAGATGTCAAAACGTGTTATTTTCCTTAATACATTCTTGGAGCAATTTTCCCAAACTTTGCAAATTTCCATTTTCTATAATGTAAAACTTCCAGTGATATCATCCTATAAAAACCCTATTGATTAATGAATTTGAAAAGTACATATTTCAGAATTATTCTCATTAAGGAAACAGACAATTCTGAGTGGGCAATTTGGGCAAGCTCACTTAGGCTTTCACTGGAAAATTCAGTGGTCCTGGGGTGTGGGGCTTCCCAGGCCCCCCAGCACATCCCCTCCACTCTTGCTGAATCGGGAGCTGGCTCACCAGAGGCCTCGGGATGGGCTTCTGGGGCTTCTTGGAGCCCAGCTTCTTCATGGCGTTGTAGTACTTCTTCTGCTCCTCGGTCATGAAGATGTCCTGGCCCCCTAAGTGCAGAGAGACAGGCACCAGACTCATTTTGGGGTTCTCAAGGGCTCTGGCATGGGGGGCATAGGGATCTGGCCTTCTTGATGAGGGTGCCTTGGCCAGCCTCCTCCTCACTTCCTCTTCTGGTGGAGAGAAGTATGTCCTATCCTGCACCAGAGAGTCCTCCCCAAATCTGCTTCTGCAGAGTCCCTGTCTCCCTTCACTTTGAGGCCTCTGTGGCTTTGTGAGGTGCAAATCCAGTGCAATCCCCTGCCCAGCTCAGCCACCCTGCACGTCCTCTCTGCCTAGCTGGTTTGCCTGCAACCCAATCATGGCCCAAACGATGGAGCTCTGGAGAGACCCTGGGCCAGTCTCGATTGTAGACCAGGTGAGTAGCCCCAACCCTCAGCCCAGCTCGTCTCAGGAACCTCATGGGTCAGGTAGATAGGGCAGGCACGGGGCCCCTCCCTCCACTCTTACAGACTGGGCCTGTTACTTCGCGGACACGCCCCTCTCCCACCCACTCCAGCAGCCGCCGGAAGGGAACTGTCCCCAGCAGGAAGGCAAAATGGGGCCAGGGGCCAGAATGGCTCCTCAGTCCCCTGGTACCCAGCCCTGCCCTGCCGGCCCGTGGCGAGCAGGTGCTCTACGCATCTTTTTCTTCTGTTGGTTGAAGTTGTCGATGATGACACCGATGAAAAGGTTCAGGGTGAAGAAAGACCCGAAGATGATGAAAATGACGAAGTAGATGTACATGTAGAGGTTGTATTCCCACTGGGGCTGCTCTTCATACTGAGGGGGAGAAACCAGATATGGGGGTCAGGCAGGCAGGAACAGGGGAGGGCTGGCTGGGCCAGAAGGTGTGTCGGGAGGGAGGTCATCAGCACGGGGCTGTATGTCTGTGTGTGTATGTGTGTGCAGAGCGAGGCCAGGGCGGGTGGGGACGGGGTTCAGAAGAGTGGCAGCTTGGGGCTAACATTGTGATTGGGTGGGGTACAAGGACAAAGAAGAAACTTGATTTGCATCTCTATTGCCTCCACCCGGTCTCTTCTCCAGTAAGACTAAGATTCAAGTAAATTACGGTGAAGTTCACTTGAAAAATATTTGAGGATTTGTGGCTCCTTGGAAGATCACGCAACTTTGCCGAGGGCCAGGCCTGGGCCTTCCAGAGAGGCTCAACTGCAGGCTGACACAAGAGACCTGGCCCTTATGGGGTGGGCTTTTGGGTGTGGACACTGATGCCCTAGTGGCCAAGTGTCCTGGAGCCTCAGGTGCCTGACTTGGCAGGAGAGGCCAGTATGGTTACCTACCCCCCTGGAGTCCACAGCTGCATACATAATGTCCATCCAGCCTTTAAATGTTGCCTTGAAGGAAAAGACAAGAGTAAGAATCATTTAACTTGCATTTATTAAACTACTGGGGGCTCCTATCTGGACAGATGAGGCCAGGAAATAGCCTCTTAGGAGAAGCAAGTATCCTGCCCAGCCCCTTCAGCCATGTCCACATGGCTGGGTGGTCAAGGAAAGGCCTTCTTGTTCAGGGCTAGAGTTGGAGGGGAGGCTGGCTGAGCACACACCATAAGGAGGCCATGGAGTGGGGTAAGAAGCTTCTTGATGTTGGCCAGGAGACTGAGGAGGACTGAAGGAGGTCTGCTTTTCAGATCCACCTTCATTCCGGATTCTAAAACGATGCAGTCCTTCAGCGGGTGTCAGGGACAGAGAGGAGGACCCCAGTGCTGACCAGGTCCCCTTTGTCATGTACCTTGGAGAAGCCCATGGCTTCTGCTCTGCGGCCTCTCAGGATGGCCCTGAAGCATCCCAACCTCCCCTCGTACTTAAGGGGGTCCTTTTGCCAGCCGTGTGTTGGTAAATGGCTAACAAACGGTTTTCCAGAAGAAAACAAAGCCCTGATTGTTGTGTTTGCCAATTTCTCTGGGTAAACAAATTGGTAAATTGGGTAAACTACTCCTACCACGGCCAATTTCAAGTTACCAACGGGCTGTTACTGAACACAGACACATAGGAGGGGAGCATTATAGTATTTCCACTGTACGGATACAGCACATATAAATTACCTCAAGAGCATCCATGATAATAGGTGGTAATGGTGAATTTTGATTTAAAAAAAATTTTATTTTCAAGTAATCTCTACACCCAACATGGGCTCGAACCCACAATCCTGAGAGCAATAGTGGCATGCTTCACTGACTGAGCTGGCCAGGCATCCACGATTTTAATATCACCTGGTGAATTATAAGTTTATAAAACCTGATTTTTAATCATGGCTTGCAAAATATCTGAAAATGCAACAATCAGCTCTCGTGAGCCCACACAAGCCTGCTCCAGCCCGCCACCCCAAGGCGCTAGAGGAGGAGGCCGAATGCCACAGGGCTGTGGTGCTGACTGCATTGTCTGCCCCAGTCTGGGCTTCTACAAAGATTCTGGAAGAGCCTGAGAGACATGCTTGGTGGTGAGGCCGATTGTCCAGGGGGTCTCACTTGTGTTCTTGGCAAAAGCCGATCCTGCCCTGAGCCTCTTTTCAGGATGCAACTGTCCACATAAACTTTCATGTCTGAGAGTTCTTCTGACACAGTCAGGGCAGATGGGGAAACTGAGGCTGCCCCCAGAGTATGCTACTTCAGCTCCCCGTGACGAGATGCTTGTGACTGCTTTTCTGGCCACTGTGTCGTTCTGTCTAGAATGGCCTTTCCTTCCAAGTTCTGACATTTAGAGGGAAGTCCCAGGGACAGAAGGCTCTCCGGGTTTGGCTCTAATCTTGTTCTGTAGGAGTTATTTCAGGGGAGTCTTTGGAGAAAGCTACCCCTGGGATTGAAAGGAGGGCTGGAGGATCGAGTAGATGTGCATTAAGTTTTCAGAGGAGAGCACACCGAGTGTTCCTCTGCTTTGGGGACTAGAGACAGGTCTGTGGGCTTAAGCCTGGGGTAGCAAGTGAAGCAGGTTATGGTTCTCTGTGTTATGATTTTGTCTGCATGTCTGCTGTCACGGCTACTTGTAGGTTAATATTATGCCAGGTATCATGCTCACTGAAGCCACCGTCCTCAAAAATCAATGGAAACCTTGGAAGGACGGGGTAGGGTCACGTGTGTTTCAACATCTCGCACATCAGAAACAACACAGAAGGTGTTACTACTTTTTATAACAGAAGGCTGGAGTCACAGTGTGGCTAATAGTTCCGTCTCTGTGTGTCTCTGGTCTTTGATTTTTAACCTGCGTCATCACACCACCAAACTGATGGCGTGAGGCTATCAACCTGACCGCTGGCCAGGGAGCTGGGTCTGCCTCAGGGCTGAACCCCCATGCCATGCGTCTTGGAGAATGTGGCACCTGTTCTAGAATGGAAAATCCAGGGACTTCCCCAGGAGCCAAGAAGTCTCTGGAGAATCCTTAGCCTCCTTCGGGCAGTGTGACCTTTCTGTGAGGACCCAGAGGGGCCCCACTGTCCCCCTCCCGCCCACACTGTGGGTGAAGGTCCCTGTTGCTGGGGAGCCAGTGGGAGTCTCCAGGACTTACCACCTGCAGAAGGGCCAGGTACCCGGCCCCCACGTTGTCAAAGTTGACTTTCACCTTGGTCCAGTACAACTCGCCAGTCACGTTGAAAGACTCACAGTCACTCTTGTTGTTCACGATGGTGTAGTTCAAAGGCAGGTCTCCCTCAGTCTGGTTGATGCACCGCCCAAACTTCCCCGCAAAGAGGTTCACGCCCATGATGCTGAAGATGAGCCAGAAGATGAGGCAGACGAGGAGGACATTCATGATGGATGGGATGGCACCCACCAGGGCATTGACCACAACCTCAAGTGGACAGAGAAGAGGCTCTGTTCCTGGGGGTGCCCAGAGCATATGCCCTTTTCAAGACCCACCTAGCCACGCCCCCCTTTCCCCCACTAAACTCTTTGCCTACAGGTCCCTGTGGGGGTGGGGTAGTGGAACACTTCCTGTCCCTGAGGAAGGGCCACCCCTGGCTGGAAGCCCTGATGGGGAATAAAAGGAGAGATGATGGGGAGTCGGGGGAGGGGGGAGAGAATACACACACACACACACACACACACAGCCGCCCTTTTGTTGTCTTTGCACGCTAATGTCTGCTGCAACTGCGGAACGTCTGCCTTTCTCTTCTGGTCCTGCCCTGAATTCATGACCTTCAAACTGAATTTTCAACAGGGTCTCTCTAGTTAAGTATGCCAGCAATTGGATGGGAAAGGGCCTCTGGAGACACATTCTCTGAGCTAAGTTTCTGGTTTATTTTGGGGTTGGTGCTACTAGGGAGGATGGGTGTTCTCCCTAAAGGACGCCCAGGGGACCTCGGCGTGGGGTGTCTGGCGGGTGCCCTGGCAGCTCTCCAAAACTGCGGTGAGAGCTGAGCTGGGAGGGCAGGGGGTGTGGTGTGGGGGGCTCCCTGTGCCTCTGCCCTCCCCAGGAGTGGCTCTCTGACCCCGTGGAGCCCTGGCATTGGTCTTGTCATCGAAACTCAGAACACCCCGGAGAGGCTTCCTTGGCAAACGCATATGGTGTGCTCTATGCCGCTGAGGGCCAAGTGTCCAGCTGTCCGGGAGTCAGGACTGGAAGTGAGGCTGGTGTGGGGCCGCGTGGTGAGCGTGGTGCCGGGACGGGTAATGCTGACACATGCAGGTGACAGGGGCTCCCTGGTCCCCAGCAGGCATGATGAACAGGGTGGGACACCCAATGCTCAGGTTTGCCCTTGGCTGGCTCCGTGGTGACAGCCCCAACAGAGGCATTCCTGGCAACTTGCATCTCCCCCACAGCCCTCGGGAATCAAATGCCCTTAATCCCAAGAGATATTTAACTCAGGTAGGATGGTTCACTTGCGAATGCTTTCCCACCAGGAATAAGCCACTTGTTTCTCTCAGGGGGGTGTGGGCAAAGTTCAAAACCATCAAAAAATGGGGGCCGTGGGATGGCGCCTGCTGGGTCAGCGAGACACACAGGCGTGGCTGCTGAAGCCACGGCAGAACTGTGCACGTTTGTAAGAAACACAAAACACACGTGCACACAAATGCACATATGTGTTTGTTTTCTTGCTATATATTATGGGGTAATGTTTTTTCTTGGTGGGGCTTTTATTTTATTTTTAAAGATTTTACTTATTTATTTGACAGAGAGAGAGAGAGTGAGCACAAGCAGGGGGAGCAGCAGAGGGAGAGGGAGAAGCAGGCTCCCGGCTGAGCAGGGAGCCCGATGTGGGGCTCGATCCCAGGACCCCGGGATCATGACCTGAGCTGAAGGCAGACGCTTAACCGACTGAGCCACCTAGGTGCCTTGGCGGGGCTTTTAAAGTTGCCTTATATGCACACATTCTTTGGTAAAATTTGATGACTTGAAAAATGCATAGGGCTCTGCACTTAGAAATCAGTGCGAAGGAGTTTGCTAAGCAAATGCCAACCGCTACAAGATGGTGAGGATATGCTGCTCCCTCCTTGCTTCCTTCACCTTGACCAGCACAGCCCTACGGCCCATTGCAGACGGAGGAAGACAGCCCATGTCTGCCAGGAGGAGGGCACGCAGGCGGGTACATGGACACAGAGTGCACACACAGATGGCCCCCCACCCTGGGGCAGAAGCAGAGAGGCTCCCCGGCTCACGGGGCAGGCGGTGACAGGCCCAGGGGGCTCTCACAGCTCTCCACCCTCTGGGTGCCTGCAAGCCCAGCTGCACCTCTCCAGGAGATTTTGCCCCGTGCTCCTACCAGCCTGGGTGGCCACATTCCCAGCTCCGGGCTGGGCTGCTCAGTCAACAAGCAGAGCCGGGGGTATCTCAGTGGAGTCCCCTCCCACTGCCCTGGCGGGAAGGCAGTCACTCCCCTTACCCTCATGCCCTCAAATCGTGACAGGGCTCTCAGGGGTCGGAGTGCACGCAAGGTCCGCAGTGACTTGATGGGGCCCATCTCGGCAAAGCCCAGGGTGTTGGCCACCAGGCTGATCAGGGAGACCTGTGGGAGGTAAAGCGGGGAGTGAGCGCCATGGGGACAGCTCTGGAGATGGGTGGTAGGGCTCCCGGCCCACCTGAAGCTGCGCTGGTGTGAGAGAGCCAGCAGGCTTTCCCCGTGTTCAATCTTTGTTATTTCCGGCTACATCATCTTCGCGGCCGTCACGCACTGGGCTGGCCTTCCTGGGGCCCAAGAGGCTGGGGGCGAGACAAGTTCTTTGCCAAGAGCCTGCTATGTGCACCCACTAACCTGAGGACTTGGGATGCATTCTCCCTATTCTACAGAGAGAAAACCGAGTTCCCATGCCAGCCACCACATGGAGGAGTGAGCACACACAGCCTGGGCCTTTGGTTCCCACGGGCTTTCCTTCAAGTCAAGTTCTTGGACCTGCCCCTTCCCTCCCCCAAAGAAGGCTCTTTTTGGGAAGAAAGGACTATCCTGGGCTGACTGGGAGCCCACAGGCAATCCTGGGGCTTTTCCCCAAAGCCGGACTGTGCAACATCGGACATCTTCGAAGAGGGGAGGCGCAAGCAGGGATTGTACGGCCCAGCGACCAGCTCTGGCCACTCTGCCCACCTCGTTCCCAGCGGTGCGCCCCCATCGTCTGTGCTTTCAAAGCTTGTGCAGCTGCCCCGCTCAGAGCCCTTCCATCTCAGCTGATGGCAGCCCCATCCTACGAGCTGCTCAGGCCACAAGCCTTGGCGTCATCTCTGCCTCCTCTCCGTCTCTCACACCCTACATCCAACCCGGCAGGATTTCCTGTTGGCTCTGCCTTCAAAATACATCAGAAGTCCAAATATTTCTCACCACCGCCACTGCCACCATCCCAGCCAGGCCCCCGTCCTCTCTCCCCTGGATGGCCGCCACAGCCTCCTGACTCCTCTGCCTGCCTCCACGTGGGCCCCACCCCCACCCCTGCGCTCCTCCAGGAACGGAGTCACTTCGTGCCACTCCTCTGCTCAGAGTGTTGCAGTGCCTTCCCACTTGGCTCTAGATAAAAGCCCCTGGTTTTCCAAGGCGGTGCCCCCCTCTGCCCCTTGCAGCCCCGCCTCATCTCCTGCACTTCCCTTCCCCACTCACTCTGCTCCAGCCACTCCCGCTTCCTTAAGTATGCCAGGCACGCTCCCACCACAGGACCTTTGCACCGCTGTTCCAACCTCTGCGTGGAGGGTTCCGCAGGCATCTGCCTGGCTAACCCCAACTTCCTTCACATTTGCTCCAGTGGCATCTCAGTGAACCCACCCCAGTCAGCCTATTTAAAGCTGTAATCCACACCTTCCCCTCGCGGGACTCCTGGCCCTCCCAATCCCCTTTCATTCTCCGCATCCTATTTCTCCTGGTACACATCAGCTTCTAACAGAGTATTCGGCCAGCTTATCGAATATGTTTATTGCTTGTGGTTGCCTTCCTCCATGCATGCAGAGGTTTTAGTCTATTTGGTTCCCCGAGATCCCTAGCACCTACAATAGTAGATACTCAATAGTATTTATTGAAAATTAGAATGCAGGAATTGATCCTGGAAATATCCTTCTCCGGACCCTGAGGCCTGAAGACCACCTTTCCCATGAAGTGAGGGGATGGGATGGGGGGCAGCATGGCCAGCATCAGGAAAGCTGGAGTCCAGCCTCCTCGACCTCAGGGCAAGTTCCCTCCCTGCTGTGAGCCTCCGTTTCCTTCTCCACAGGCTAATTCTCCAGTTCTGGGACTGGACGGGAAGCACCGATGGTCTCCTTCGCCCACCCTCAGCCCTGAGTTCCCCAAGGTGGCAGGCTGGTGGGCTTCCCCAGGAGTCTTTGCAAACCCCCTCCTGCCTTCCCTGAGGGGAGTCGCTCAGCAGGCCCAGCTTCCCAAGAAGCTGCAGGAATAGCCAGGGGAGGGGCCTCAGGGCAGAGCTGCCAGGATCCCAGGCCCTCCCACATGCCCCGGGGCTGGAGGACTCCCGGGTCCTCTCCTCCTCTCAGGGAGGCTCTGAGGACTCCAGGCTGTAAGAGCAGCTAGACCTCCCTCCCAGTCTCTCTCTGCCACCCTAGCATCCCTCACCCCAACATTAGCATCCTCTCAGTCACTGGGGGTGATAGAAAGAGGCCGGAACCAGAGGCCCAAGGACCTGGATCTGTGTCTCCACACAGATCTCCATACATGTCTCCTCCCATGGTCACCCACGGGCTGACCTCCCACCCAAGCTGAGCCCCTCCCTCCCTTTGACCTCTGAGTGGGGTGTGGGGTGTGGGGACTGAACAGAGGCCTGAACCTCTTGTGCCACCACAGGAAGGACAGCCCCTACTGGTGGGCAGAGCCTGAGGCCCAGGCTCGGAAGCCACGGGTGCCATCTGGAAAGCCTTTCCCGGTCTGCAGATGCTGACCCACATTCCATTCTGCAGGAACCTCCACAACCAGATGGTGAGCCTCCCCTGAGCCCTTCGTCTCTGCCTGTCCCCCCCCTCCCGCCTTCAGTGAGTGCAGATCTGAGGCGGCTCCACACTCTGGTCTCCTTTTCCTCTCTGGTTATTCTCCCACTCAGCTGTGCTTACCCTGCTTGGCACCCAGCAGGGTCCTGGGGCCTGGGTGGCTGTGGGCCAGAGGCCTCCCGCTCTATCTGCCAACTGGGTGCTCAGAGGACATGCCACCTCCTGTCCTAGACCCTCCCTGGACAGGGAGGGCAGCTGTGCCCGCTACCCAATCTTCCAGGGCAGCAACCCAGGGCCCCTTAGCCAGCCCTCATGGCTTTCTGCCTTCTCACAGGTGGCTGCACCCCTCTCTCATCCTCCCCAAGTGGTACCTTCTCCCTGAGCCCAGAGGATCCTCCCCCTGCCGACCCAGAATCCCTTCACCAATGCCGTCCCCTCTGGCCTTGGACTCACCCTCTCATTGTACAGATAGCCTCCTACCATGTGTGGACACAGAGGCTCTTAGCTGGCCACCTAGCTCGTGGGCCTGACGGACCCTTCACAACACGCGTGGTGAGCGCCGTGGTACGGGCTATTGTGTTCCCTGGCTTCTGGCCATGCTGACGGGGCGGTGTGCGTGGGGGGCACTCCGGCTTGGACTGCTCCCCACTCCGCCCTGTGGTGAGTCCAGTCTCCCCAGAAGCCGAGGTCTCCCCCTACTCCTCTGTCTCCCCAAATTGGGGTTCTGATGGCCAGACCCAGGTTCCTATTCCTCCCAGACTGGGAACCTTATGGGCAGGGCCTGGGGCTCCGCTGTGACCTGAGATGACTGTCACCTGAGACGACTGCCTCCTTCCCCTCTGCCAGCTCTGCAGCCCAGATGAGTGCCTTCAACGTCAGCCTGCTGACCCCCACCCACCCTGTCACCCTGTCCTTCCGTGCCTCTGCTTCAGCTCCTTTCCGCACTGGCAGCCCCTCTCCCTGCCCCTCTTCCCTCCTGGGCCACACTCACATCCACGATGAGGAAGTCCAGCCAGCACCAGGCGTTGGTGAAGTACTTCTTAAAGCCATAGGCCACCCACTTGAGCAGCATCTCCAGCACGAAGACGTAGGTGAACATCTTGTCGGCATATTCGAGCAGAACCTTGATGGTCTTCCGCTCCTCCAGGTAGATGTCCTCGAAGGCCTACAGATCAGGCCGGACAAGGGGGACATGACGTCCCGACCACTGCCCATCCCACCCCTCACGAGACTTCATCTCTGACAGCAGGTGCTGCCCAGGAGGGCGGGAGCAGAGGTGAGGCCTATGGTGGAGGGGCCCCTCTGAGGTCACCCTGGACTAGAACAGCACGCTCTCCTGGCTCATGAAACGGTCTCACGCGGTATGTGGACAACAAAGCACAGCGTGTGGTGAGAACACTTCACGCTGAAGAGTGAGGCTCAGTTCTGAGCTCGTGTGTCTCTAACACCTTCCTAAACCTTGCTGATCTCCCATGTTAACACGGAGAGCGTGTGCGGGCGCAGCTCGTGGTCTTCTGCTGAAAACCCCGTGAACCCTCTTTTTGGTGTTCTCATTCCACTGTGTTTTTACTCTATTTGCTTGATGCAGTTACCTACTTTTCATAGGACACAAAATTGGTGTCCAATGATAACAATCATTAAAAGTCTCCCTTTACAATGTGTTTATGGAAACACAGAGAAACCAGGGAGAGTTGATCCAAAGCAAAATCTTCAGTAAATGCTAGTGAAGGCAGTTTGTCAGTGAGAAGTTTGGAAAATGCAAGACTAGGTATCCTGGGGATCCATCCCAAAGCTCCTGCGACCCTCAGAATCCAGGAGTCAAGTTTCTAACATGCTAGAAGGGGTCTTTCTCCACCTCCTTGTTTCTGCCTCAACCCGAAATCCTGAGCCAGCAGAAGAACCCTGCCGGCTCCCAGGTGCCCTCTTATATACCTCCTGTCCTGATCTGTGCTCAGGCCTCTGAAGCCACCTCTCCCCGCCCACTGTGTGCTCAGAGGCTCCCCTGCTAGGCAACTGAACACGTCACCGGGGGCCTGGGGGAGTCGCCTCTGCCTGTCACTATGGGCCTCCCTGCCAGGCCCGGTGAGTCACGGGGGCCCGGGTGGCCAGTGCCGTCAGCCCTGACGTGCACTGCCCAAGCATATATGTGGCTAATCCAGTCTCAGTATGGACAGCATGGCAGGGTAATTCAGGTCCTAGAACGGACTCTGGGCGTTGTTCAAGACCAAAAGTAGGTGGTTTGTTGTTGTCATTTCTGATTATAAAAATGTGTGCTTCCCACAAAAAATTAAGTAATATAGAAATTATAAAAAAGAACAGAACGCACCTCCGATTTCATGACATTATAGTAGCCACTGCTAACATTTAGGGGAAGACTCTTCTTGACACTCACTATTTGTGTGTCTACACATGCGAGTACACAGTTTTCTAAGATAGACTATTTTGCTTTTAAATTTTTTCTTTTCCACTAAACAATCTTTTGAGTGTTTACCCTATAATGTGAACACATGCTATATCTAGTATTCTTTTAAAAGGCTGCATAATATTTTATTATTTGCATATACTTTTGTGTATTTAGCCACATCTCCTTTTAGTGAACATTTCAGTTGTTTCCAATTTAATTCCTAGTAGAAACAACACTGCAGTGAACAATGTGTCTGATTATCTGTTTAGGATAAATTTCTAGAATTGCGGAGCCAGGTCAAAGGTGTACTTTGGGTACAGATTGGGAACAGGATTTCCGGCAGGGGACACCAAGAGACACTCCTCCCTCCATAGTGCACGGAGTTGGTTCTTTCCTCATCACTCCCCCGAGTGTGGTGGGGTTTCTCCCTTGTCACTTTTCCCAGCCTAAGGAATGAAAGTTGTATTTTGTTAGGTTTTAATGTATTTTATTACTAGTAATGCTGACATCATGTCCTTGGATATTTGCAGTGTTCCTTTTGCGAGCTGCCTGTGCATCTTTTTTGTCTATTTTTTTTTTTTTTACTTGAGTATCTGGTTTATTCAGAGATGTTAATTCCTTGTTTTATACACTTTATCCTAGTTGTGTGCCTTTAAATCTTCTTCACTTTTTCCATCGACAGATGAATGGATAAAGAAGATGTATTTATATACAATGGAGTATTACTCAGCCATCAGAAAGAATGAAATCTTGCCATTTGCAATGACGTGAATGGAGGTAGAGAGTATTACACTAACTGAAATAAGTCAGTCAGAGAAGGACAAATACCAAATGATTTCACTCCTTTGTGGAATTTAAGAAACAAAACAGATGAACATAGGGGGAAAAAAGGAGAGGCAAACCAGGGAACAGACTCTTAACTATAGAGAACTAACTGAGGGTCGATGGAGGGAGGTGGGTGGGGGATGGGCTAAACTGGTGATGGGTATGAAGGAGGGCACGTGATGAGCACTGGGTGTTGTGTGTAAGTGACGAATCACTAAACTCTACTTCTGAACCTAACATTACACTGTATGTTAACTAAATGGAATTTAAATAAAAACTTGAAAAAGAAAACAAAATAAATAAATTCAACCTATAAAAAAATCTTGTTTACTTCCGTTTACCATACTGAAGTTCCACCCTTTATTTTCATTATTATTAAATCATTTAATATAATTATATCATTTATTATCATTTTCACCTAGTAAAACCTTCAGTGTCATGTTAAGAAAGCCCTTATGTAGTTTAAGGCTAGGGGAAAAAAATGATGCTTCTTTTCTTCTTTTAGTTTTTCTTTTGAACTTTCTGGCTTCATTATTTTATATTACAGTTTTAAAAATCCAATCTATTTTGGTAAAGAGCAAATATCCATTTTAATATTTTTTTCAGACTAGCTTGTCACTGTTACAACACTTTATTAAAGAATCCACTTCAAATCCATAGGTTAGAAGTCAACTTTATCATCTAAACTACATTTCTACACTTTCTGAAATCTACTGGACCTCTCTGTGTGGTTTTACTGCTCTTTATTCCTGAATTAATATCATATGAATTCTTCTGGCCATTTTTAGCAATTTTCAAGATAAAATTTTGCAATGTTTTGTCAAATTCCCTTTAAAAGTGTTGCAAATTTATTGTAATTGCACTGAATTTATTAACTGCATTAGGATCTCATATGGAGTCTTCCTACCCAAGACTAGAGTACGTTTATAGTATATTTATTGGTCTGTCTTCTTTTACAGTGCTTAGCGAAGTTTTAGCATTTTCTGCATGTACCTCTTACACATCTCATGTCATATTTATTCCCAGTTACTTTGTGCTTACAATGTCTGGCAAATAAGGACTATTCCAGAAATGTTACTTAGGACTAAATGCTTTCTGTTGTATAAAACAACCATAACAACAATTCTTTGGGTATTTATTTTATAACTGGCCACATAATATTTTTAATAGGTTTTAAAATTTTTCTAGCAATCATTATCTACAAGTAATGCTACAGTTATATTTTATTTCTATTATTTTAACTGATTTTATACTTGACGCTATTAACTTCAATTCTTTTATTTTCCAATTTTTACTTTGTATGTTTACCTTTCTTGGTTAATTACACTGGCTAGTATTTCAAGATCATTATTCAATAATGGAACAACAGCTAAAAAGGAATTAAATCATCCTTTTCTCACTCCTAACTTTCATGAAAATGTTTCAAGTGTTTTACTACTAATGATGATAATAGAAGTTAATTTGAGAATACATTTTTCACCTAATTAAGGAAATGTATTTCATTTTTATTCTTGCTAGAGTTTTAAAAATCAGGCATTCATTGAGATAACTGTATGTTTTTTCATCTCTGTCCTATTCATATACATACATTTCCTAGTATGGCACCATTCTGCCATTTTAGAATACATATTAAACGCTTATTTAATTTTTAAAATATATCATTGGTTCTTATTTGCATGGATTTAGGATTCTTGCAACACTATTCATAAGTATGGAGTACAAAAACGAACCTATGGTTTTCTTATTGGTATACTTGAGGTTTTAAAAATCAGCATTATTTAGCTTGCATGAAAATGATGTGTAGACTTTCTGTGTTTCTTCATACACTACAACATTTTAAACAGGATTGGAATTATTTTCTTCCTTAGGAATGCAAAAGAACCCATCCTTGGAGATGTGACAGATCAGATTAGCTACTGCTTTATCTATTTTATTGTTTGAATTTTTCAAGGAATCAGCTTTGGAATTTCATATCAGTTTTATTACTTATTTCTAATTGATTAATTTGTTTTAAAAATTTTACTCATTATTTCCTTATTGTCCTTAAGATTATTTTGTTGCTACATTTGTAATTTCTTGAGTTTAATTAATTAGTTTACCTTCTTTCTATTTAATAATAGAAGTGTTTAAGTTTATGAATTTTCCTCTATTTTTTTTTTTAAAGTAGGCTTCATGTCCAGTGTGGAACCCAACACGGGGCTTGAATTCACGACCCTGAAATCAAGACTTGAGTTGAGATCAAGAGTGGGATGTTTAACTGACTGAGCCACCCAGACGCCCCTATGTATTTTCCTCTTATAACAGCTTTGGCTGCATCCTACAAGCAGTACTCTCAATATTATTATTTTCTAGTTTTTTATCCCCCCAGCTAGTTTTTTTTTTCTCTACCTCTAATTTTCTTATTTTTCTAGATCTCAAGTGGACAGAATTGGTTGAATTATAATCTTTGACTTACAACACACTGTCATCTTTGGTCCGCAGGCAGCCTTTGTATTTTATTTATTTGCTTACTTCTTAATATAATGAGCACCCATGAACCTACCACCAAACTATTTTCTGTTTGATCCACAGTTTAAGAATGACTTTTACACTTCTAAGGATTATTTCTGTTGTTGTTTTTTAATCTTTCTATTTTTGCTGTATCTAGCAGTTTCCTTATCTGTAAAATAGGCTTAATAACAGTACTTATCTCTTAGAGTTATTATGAGAATCAAATGAATTAATCTTTGTAAAATACTTATAATAGGGTCTGGCACATAGTGGGTGCTATTTAAATGTTCTTGTTTTTATTATTATTAGGCTAGATCAAATTTGTGAACTATATATATATTTTAGATCTCTCGTAGTCTTGTTCTTTCTATGTGATTTGTCAGGAACTAATAGAAGTGTGGTAAAATCTCCCTGTACTATTGCATTGTTGCCACTTTTTTTTTCTAATAGTTTTTATTTGATATAAGTGCTATGCAATCCCAAGCAAAAATATATTCATAATAGTTTTACTTTTAAAAATTTATTTATTTGAGAGAGGGAGTGTGTGAGAGCACAGAGGGAGGGTGAGAGGGAGAAACAGACTCCCCACTGAGCAGAGAGCCAAAAGTGGGACTTGATCCCAGGACCCTGGGATCATGACCTGAGCCGAAGGCAGATGCTTAATGACTGAGCCACCCAGGCGCCCCAGTAGTTTTATTTTTATTGTAGCTTGGACCTCCTTTATCTCATGCTTCTTACTTTGAATTCAACCTTGTTTAATATTAACAAACAAAAACACTCTGATTTTTGTTGTGATTGTTTGCATTTGCCTGATATATCTTATTATTTTACTTCTAAAATTTCTGAGTGACACTTTTGGTTTGTCCTTTAAGAGCACCTAGGTGAAGTTTTGTTTTTTTTGTTTTTTTTTTAAATCCATTCAGAGTCCTTTCCTTTTAAAAGATGAATTTTATCCAGTTACCATTAGAACATATTTGCTTTTGCCTCTGCTGCATTATTTTCTGTTTCCTGGTTTTTCCTTGTTCCTTCCTTTTTCTCCTATCTCCTGCTGTAAGAGCTCTGTTTTCTTTAAAGAAAAGTCCCTTCAACAATTTGGAAGGGATATATAGTTTGCTTTCTGTTAAACAAGTTTATAACTTTAAATAACACACTCAGACTTCTTTTTCTCAATATATCATCGACGTGTTTTTTTTTTTTTTTTTTAAACAGTGCTTGGCTGTCTACCCTGATTAGATTCCCCACTTGCTTGCCAAAACTCCTCCTCACTTATGCCAGGCTGAGTTTTTCCTCCACAGCCCAGACTACATGGCTCTGGCTGCCCTTGTTTGTGGCTGTTTAAAAACAAAACTCGTTAACATATTGTCAAATCATCCTTCTCTGAAGCCTACAGAGATTTGGCTTTAGCTGCCAATGGTAAAACAGCATGTGGCCTCTAAGTCATGGCTCCAGGCCCACTCTGGAACAGGGGAGGGCAGTACAGAATGGGATGGGAGGCCCAGAGATTTAGGGGTGACAGCCACAGTGCCTCCTCATGGCCTGACCCCAGGAGGCGGCACGGAGTGGAGGCACATAGCCTTGGGTCAGAGTGCCCTTCTCTCTTGCTCTGGAGTTCAAAGCATTCCCTGTTAGTTGCTCAGACATGGGGTTCTCACCTCCCCAATGGTACCAACTGCTTGCTTGGTATCAAGTGATTATCTCCTCTGCCTTCTTGACCACCCATCTCCCTGTTCACCAGCATCTTCTAGAGCCCTCTCCAGGGCTATCCCATCTCCTCCTGAAAGGACTCTGAGAGATCAGAATAGGGTGCTTGTGAGCCCCCATGGGGCATTCCTGGAGGGCCTCCCTGCTCTCCTGGCCTCAGCCAACTTCCTTGCCCCCCCACAGTCCAGCTTCACCTGCTCTCTCCAAGGAGTGGTCCTGATTGTTGCAGTTCCCCTGACCTCGAAGGCATTTACTCCACTCTTACTCAGTGTTCTCTCTTGAGCTGATCTCTATCTCAAACCTACTGACTCTGGTTCCCCCACCTAGATTTTGAGCCACTGGGGCCGGGGCTGGGGTCTCCCCCTCTTGTCAGCTCCCCATGGCTCACAGGACTAGACATAAGGATCGCTGAGAAGAGACCCATTGAACAAGTGGAAGGTCAAGGCAAAGGACTCTGGGATCCGACTGCCTGGGTTCAAACGCCACACCGGCTGCTTGCGAGTGGCGGGACCTTCGGCATGTTACATAATGGTTCTGCAAAGGGCTGTTGTTGGGAACAAATGTGACAACGTGTGAACTACGTAGCCCGGCCTCTAGCCCTGGAGCAGCCAGAGTGAGTGGAGCTACCAGGAGAATTGCAGGCAGCATTGTTAACTGCACTGAAAGGGCCTACCTGAGTGAGGTGCGACTGGGTGTGTCACCAGAGCTTGGGGGCGGGGGGTGGCTGCTGGCCTGTGACCTATGCCAGCTGGACACTGTGAAATGGGGCAAATCACTCCCCCTTTGGTGGGACACAGGGGTCTGGACCAATGACCTCTGTGAGCCCATCTTGCTCTGACTTCCACACATGCTGCGGTGGTGTGAGTTTGTGAGCTGACTCCTCTTCTGGGGGCTGAGGGAAGCACATCTGCAGCAGAGGCTCTGCCCCAGTTTCTGGCCTGGCTCTCAGCTGGAGACTTGCTTTCCCTGCCCTCCCCGCTCCTCCACCCCTCTCTGCCCAACCCTGCATCCCCAGGAGGCTACCAGGGCTCCACTGCTGAGCAGGATCATGAAGATGATGAACGTCTCGAACCAGCTGTGCTCCACGATGCGGTAGCAGGTCTTGCGCAGTCGCCACCAGACCTTCCCGGGGCCCTGCGTGGTGTCCACGGCACAGCAGGGACAGCGCCGGACACAACCTGTGAGGGAGTGGGGAGGTGGGGGTCAGGCCCAGTCCAGGGCCTGCAAATGCCCACATCTGATGGTGAAAGGTTGGATGGTGGAAGGAGTGACCAAGAGAAAGAGGTTATGATGTGGAGTCGTGAACAGGGTGACACGGTGGGCAGGTGTGACAGGACAGCAGAGAGCACTGTGGTGCTGTCCTCAGGGGCCCACGCTCAGCAGGAACTCCATGGAAAAGCCGGATGGAGGAGGCATCCAGTGAGCGGGTAAAGGGCCCGGCAGATCTGAGCAGGGGGAAGGCTAGGGCTAGGCTGGGCTCCAGTTTCCCCTCTGCTCATCTGGGAAATTCTCCCCCTGGGGGAATATTCCAGAACTCCTGGGGTACTCTGTCCCGGGGTCTTCTCCATGTTTGCAGTTTTTGAACCGTGGGAAGGGCAAAGCCCTCACTGAGAGCCCTAAATGACATGCCACGTGGAGGGCAAACTCTCATTTTATCCCAGCTGCCTTCCGAATATTCACCACCAATTCGTAAAAGCTACAGATGCCGATGACCACCACGGGCACACGTCACACCTGTGGGTATTTACAGAAGGCCAACTATAGGCCAAGAGCTCAGGTGAAGAAGGTGGAGCCCCTGCTGCAGGGGGCACACGCTTGTGCTATCGCCCTACCAATGCAGAGTCACGGGTCTTCCGTGTGGCTGACCCCCAGCTGCCCGGCCCAGCACTCCATGGGCAGGCATGTCATCAGGTCCTGGGTAGAAGGAGGGGCCCCCAGGGTCATGAGGAACGGGGAAGGAGGGCAAGCATCGGGGTCAGGGTGGGGTACAACATGGCCCTGGACCCCACGGAGCTGCTGGTTCTCCTGTCCCTCCGGGTGGAGAGAACCTCAGGTAAAGGGCCACTCAGGGCAGTACCTTCAGTGAAGCAGTTCTCTGGGTCCTTGACATCCTCGCCCAGGTCAGGGATCTGCTCCAGGAGGTCAGCAGTGTTGGTCATGTCTGCTGTGCTCCCCTCCGAGCAGCTGTCCTCGTGAGTCTGCGGGGAGGGGTATGGGGCAGGGTGGGTGAGGGCCACGTGGAAGCCTCCAGCCTCGAGCCCTGCATCTGGGGCAGCCAGGGGCTCCCTGAGGGGAGATGCCCAGACTACTTTCCACTGCATAACCTGGAAATGTGAGCCCACGGTGCGTGGGTGGGAACCCGTCCCGGGCCGAACTGAGGCTGGACCTCAGGGGCTCCTGAGTCTGCGCTTTGGTGTGCCAGAGTCTAGGGTCGGGGGCCGGGGGGAAGGGAAAGCACTGGGGATGCGGAATGCATCCAGCTGGGAACAGACAGACATGGGTGGCAACATGGACACACACTCGGACAAGGACACATGGTGGCAGCTTGGTGCACGCGGACAAAACAGGCATGCCGCACAGAGAACAGAGTCAGAACCAGGACCACAGGCACACACGGGTGGAGGTCAGACAAGCAGAGCAAGCCCAGCCACCCGGCTGACGCTTCTCACTCAGTTCACGAGTGCTGGCATGATGGGCAGAGTCTGGAGTCAAAGCAAGAAGGTACTGGAAACCGCCCCGCCTGGCCATGCAGGGCTCGGCCACCCCGACCTTGCTTAATCTGATTACAGCGAGGTGTGTGCGTGCGGTGTTGTGTCTCTGTCGGTCATGTGTGGGTGCGGGCGTCGGGGGGCGCAGTAGTGGTCACTGCTGGTGCTCGGCCCAGCTCCCTCTGGTAGGCCCACTTGCACTGTGAACACTGGCTGCTGAGCTGGCCCCTTCTCCAGAACCCCATCTGGAGCCAGGGAGCGGCCAGGCCCAGTAATGGCTTGGGGGTTCCAAGCCAAGCTGGGGTAGCTGACACCCAGTGTTGCCCTGACGTGGGAAGACACAAGGCCAACCCCTCCCCTGGTGGGCAGGGGACCATGCCATGTACAGCGCATGCTCCAGGGCTCCCCACTGGACCAGGCTGAGGCCTGAATCCAGAACCTGCCTTTCGAAGCTTCTTCATTGGCCTCATCCTGCTTCTCGCTCTTCCCTATCAGCTTACTCCCTCAGTAAACCCTTTGCACAGGAAGCCCGTCTCAGGCTCTGCTCCTACGAGCCCACTCTACAGACAGGCATAGCAGGGGCAGGGGCTTCTGAGAAGGAAAGGAAGCCTTCGGTGGCCTCGGATCCCGTCTATGCCGCCAGCTAAGCGGGCCTGCCCAGGTCCCTCTGCGTCAGGCTCCACTTGGAGATGAGCTGGTTTGAGTCCCTGGGCCTGCCTCTGCTCCTGAAGCTGTCTTCTTTTCCTTTCCTTCCATGAATCACTCTGCTGCTTTCTCAAAGTCCTCTTTAGTTTTGGTGTTTGTGACGGGGAAGGGCTGGACGCTGGTGGAGAGTCGAGAGGGCTCCTGGGTGCAGGGTGGAGGCTTGGCCCTTCTGGGGTCCCCGTGGCTTTGAGGGCTCATCCTTCTGCCCCCAGCTTCACTGGGCAGCTGGGCTGGGCAAGGCACAAGCCAAAGGAGATCCCGTGTTACTTTGCTTTTCAGATACTGGAGCTGCATAAAGTCCCCGGGGCATTGGGTGGGAGGCAAGTTCTCAGGATCTGGCTGCAGGTGAGATGAGGGGGCCTTCTCAGGAAAACCCATCCCACCTCTCTCTCCCTTTGACGGAGTGAGTGAACTGATTTGAGGAGAGGAAGAAGTGTCATCATTCCAGTATGAGAGCCGTGACTTTGTGCCCCTCCTGAGTCTTCCTGTTCCCACATGCCTCTGTGTGTCAGACCCTCTGGGGGGAGAAGTATGACTCGCACCGTCAGGATTAAGATTCCAGCAGGCGCTCGTGTTCCAGAGCTGATGGTGATCGCAAAGCCTCCCATGAGCCCCTCCCATGAAAGGGACAAGGCAAAAGGTGCAATGTTCCGTTGGAGCAAGTCACAACTGCACGACCGAGGGCCAGGGTCACGCTGCACTGTCTCTGAACACCGGCCCTCTACCTTCCACGGTGCTTGGCGAGAATGGGGGTGGGTGTGCGGGGTGGGGGGGGGGCGTAGTCAGCAGCGCCACAGTCCTTTAGCTCGGGGGCTGTAGACTCAAATGCTTACAGGGGTGGAGTGCCTGCAGGTAGTGGAATGAAGTTAGGCAAGTAGGGTCTGTGGCAAACCAGAGAGCTCCAGCCAGTGTCAAGGAGGTGGTTATCACTTGTCTCCGGCGGGGTGGTTCTTCTTCCAATGTTTTGTTTTGTTTTCATTTTTTCCCACTTTTTTCTGCATTTCAGAAATGCAGATTTTTTGTTTTTGTTTTTGTTTTTTACATAAAAGCTACCAGGTTTTTAAATGTTGGTGACGAATTCAAATTAAAACCCTTCTGTGGCCGGAACAAAACTCTACAGTAGGCCTCCCCTTTGCGGCCTCTGCCTTAGTCCCGGAGAGAAGCAGCTGGTGGCCAATGTGTCAAGAACTTGTTCTCAGGCCCCCACCCCCCACCCCGCCGAAGTCCCCTGGGATGGGGTAATTCACAGGACAAACATTTGCCAAAGAGGACCAAAGCACGGGAACTGAGTGAGGAGTGGGGGACACATGGAGGGCTAGGGTTAGTCTTGCCTCAGGGGCCTGGGCTCGCAACTTCCAGAATTTTCTGGAAGCTCTGGGCCCCATGCCACCTCTCCCCTGTCAGGACAGGGCCCCCGTGCTCTCCTCTACCGATGGGTCTCCCACACTGCCTGTGACCGCGGCTATGGCTCCCACCAGCAAATGCAGGCATGTGCCAGGCTTGGCTCTCATGGCCTGGCTCCAGGCCAAGTGCAGCGCCCTGCCGGCTTCAGGGACAAAGGTGTGTGTTACCTCACTGCACCCTGGGGCCGAGGGCTCCGCTTTCTGCCGCTGCCGCCAGTCTGCCTGAGCCACACTGGCCTCGGAGGAGGCGGTCTCTGACACCTGGCTCCAGGCCCTGGGCTCTGGGAGGGCCTCTGGGCTGCCGGAAACAGGCTGCGATTCCTGCTGAAGAAACCCCCAGCCCATGAGCTCCCCAGCCAGAGTGTTCCCAGGGCCTTGCCTAAACAACTGGAACACTGCCTCCTGCCCTCTTCATGGGGCCTCAGGTCACCAAAGCTCTCTTCCTCGAGGGCCCGGAGGGGGCCACTGGGAGGCTCCTGGTCAGCCTGGCCTAAATCTCCCCCTCTTCCCCCTCCCTGGAAAGGTGCAGCTGGGCTGCAACGCCCAGTTCCCAAATGCTGGCAACTCCACTTAGGAGGGACATACGGACTTCCCCCATGAGTTCCCATGGCACCCCGCGTGCATGTCCTCCTCTGCGCGCGCGCGCACACACACACACACACACACACACACACACACACTGGCCCCAGGGAGCCAGAGCCAACAGGCTCAAGAGAAGGAGAGGAGCAGGAGATAACTGGTAGCCGTGGTCCTGGCGATGCCAGCACAGCCCTCCCCTGACTACACCGTCCCTGTCCCACAGCCTGACCAAAGGGGTGAAGCCGGCCTCTGGGACCACTGGGAGGCTGAAAGATGTGGAAGCAAGCATGGAGCCTCAGATTCAATTCCCCATGTGGGGAGCAGTGGCTCTTCACAGCCGACCCACCCAGTGCAGGCCCAAAGCAAGCAGCCAGGATGGGCCCAACCAGACAGAGAACCACTCACTGTTTGACCTAAAGACCTAAGGAGAAGCCATTTGCGCCTGGCTCAGGCCACAGGAACACTGAGGGGGTGGGGGGCATTGTCTCTTTTGTCCAGACTCTGGTCCTAAGTGTTAAAAATAACAGGTTGGGAGATAAGATAGTGCTGTCTCTGACACCTGCCATCTTAGGGATGCTTATTTTTAAATCTCAGAGTTAGCCCTGGGCCGGGGAGGAGGGGAAAGGGCAGTCAGGAGGTCAGGAGACTGCTCTCCTCCCTCACCAAGACATTCCACCTTCTTAGTCCTGGAGGGGGACAATGGTGGGGGGGCGGGAGTGCTGGCTCTGTCATAGGTTCGCGAGGCACTCCTAGCAAGTCTCTCTCTTGCCATGCCTCAGTTCCCCTTTCTGTACAATTAGCTGCTCGTGGCTAGCATCAGACGAATGACGGACAATAGCCCCTTCCAAGGTCCCCTCTGGGCTGGGTTGGGAAGAGAGAGCTGACAGCTGGCCTCAACACCCCCTTGGGCTGTCTCTTGGGGGTGGCCTGTCATCTACCGCCACCCTACTCCTGCTGGGGCAGTCTGGCAGGGGCAGCTGCTCTGTGAGCAAGGCTGGGAGCCCTGGCGAGCACGGCCCTGGGCCCTATACAAGTAGGTGTTGCATATATGATGGGAGGGGGCACTCACCTGCTTACTGGACTCTTCCTCTGTGCCCAGGCTGTTCTCCTCATCCTCCTCTTGGTCATCCGTGTCTGACTCAGCCACGGCAATGGGCACACACACAGGCTCTGTATCCCTGGGGGTGCCCTGGCCTGGTTGCTTGTCTTCCTCAAACCGTGTCTCCTTGCGGGCCAGAGGCACCTTCTCTGACTCCGGGGGCAGTGGGGGGCTGGAGGTGGCAACACAGCTGGGCAGTTGGCCATGGACGGCAAGGGCTGCGGGCTTCTGGGGCCGCCGCTGTAGGAGCGCACAGTCCCAGGTGGTCCGCTTGAGGAAGCGCAGGCCGCGCTGGATGCGTGCCAGGGCCAGCTGGAGGTTGTTCATCTCCCCATCATCGTCAGGGGCTGTGAGGTTGTCTGCGCTGAAGGAGCTGAGCAGCAGAGCCAGGAAGAGGTTCAGGACCTGTGGAGGCAATGGATCAGGCTCATCGAGGCAGGCACCATACTAGGGGCAGCGAGCCTCGGGTCCATTATGGGGAAACTGAGGCCCAGGGACCTGACCTTAAGGATTGCTGATGGCCTAAGCCCTCATCCACATCCCCCAGTTCTCTTGAATATAGTGAATTTGCCTATAAGATGGAAGATTATTCTCGTCCCTTTTCCCAAGGGCTCAGATACAGTCTGGGTTGGGGCATTTACCCCCAGATTTCTTGGGTCTTGGCCCGGGGTCTATGGGAGAACCATGGGTTCATCCAGTGATGAAGCCTGCAGATGGGATCTTGCCTTCGGGGTAACGGGGTTAGGATGAGCACAAGGTTGCTCCCTGGGAAGTCAGATCCAATCTGGGATCACCAGGGACAAGACAGAATCCCACCCAGAAGCAATCCAGAGCTCTTGAGGGCTTTCCAGGGAAGGGGCTGCTACGTCTGTTGGTGAAGGATGGGGTAGTGATGGGCCTCTGAGCTGGCTCAGCATTTGACAATCTAGGGCTCCTGCTGTGGAGCACCCTCTACCTGTGTCCCCAGGTCTGACTCTACTTTCCAGGTAAGGGACGTGGGGGATAGAGCAGAGAAGGGCAGTCCTCGGGCATCTGGGACTAACTGCAGGGTCAGGACATGGAGAGGTGACTATCTAGGTGGTGGGGGATGCTGGGATGGGCGCTGGGTAGCAGACCAGACAACTGGGGAGAGGGAGGAGGGACCTGGGGTTGGAGCTGCCGGGATTCAGGGGAGGGGCTCAGGTCGCAGGGTGCCAGAAGGCCAGAACTTAAGTTATTTATCAGGGGCTAGGGACCTGAGACTCCTGAAGTGAGGTGTGCAAAATCCATCTGTCTTTGCATGGTTCTGGACCACTGCTTGTTGTTAAACCGTCCTGCAAGTGCAAAGCTTTAGCTTTTGTTAAAAAAGAGACCTTTGGCAGAGTGACAAGAGGGTGGCCTTGGGTCCACTTCCCAGCCTTGTGGAGGGTAAATGAAAATGACGGTGGGCTTGTTCCCACACATGGGTCAGACGGGCTCCGGAGCATCACCAGGCTGACAGGTCCCACCTTTGGCTTGGGGCCTCCTCCTCCCAGCCAGCCCCAGAAGGGAGTTCCCTTGAATGGGGGCCCCTACGGCTGGGAGGTGTGTGCTGGCGGGTGTGCGGTTCTCACTGGAAACCCACTCTGGGCCCCTCTCCAACTTCTCACAAGCTCCTAGGACACACCTTGTGCTTGCCAGAGAGCTAGGGACGAGAATTCTGAAGAAAGCACTGGTAAGAGGTTGGAACAAAGGCAGTCAGAAACATGTCCTTGGTTTAAGAAGCAAACACATTCAGGAGGACAGAATGGCAAGGTGAAGAAGCAGGGCCTGGCATTCCATATGGGGAGATGATCACTTTTGACACCTGGCAGCCATTTTAATGTCATCCCTGGGGGGTGGGGCACATGATGTGATTCCGGGCTGCTGTCTACACTGACCTTTGGCCTGGCCTGCCTCTGCTCTCAGCTGCCCATCCTGGATCCTCTGCCCTCACCCATGCCTCATCTCCAGGTATCTGGGGCCCAGGCTGGGGGGCAGGGCAGGGGGGGTGCCTGGACAGCCCTGTCCACCCCCATAAGAATACCAGGTCCTCCCTTGTTGCCTGCTGCCGAGGTTTCACTTCTTCCAGCGCTTTCCCCAGCAATCCTGCTGCCGTTCCCCAGCCCCTGCCTGATCATGACTTCCCATTTCAGTGGCAATCTTGTTTCCACCCACGCCCGGCAGCGGCCCAATTCCTGAGGCGACCGGGGAGGGGGCTGCGTGGGCTGCGTTAGCTTCCCTCCTTCAGCAGCCTCTAATCTTCTCCTCCCCAGGCAGATCCGCTAGGAAATCACAGGGCTGTGTGCATGAGGGCAGCGGGCCTGGCCCTGGGCTGAGAGCCTGGCGTACTCACATCCTCCGTAGAATACATCGTCTGCTGGCCCCTGGAACTGGGCCAGGGCTGAATGAGGCTCCATCCCGAGGGGCAGCTGGTTGGAGGAATGGAAGGGGGTGCAGCCCAAGGAATGGAAGGGGGTGCAGCCCATTGGCACCGAGCACGATGCCCTGCCACTTCTCTGGGCCCCACCAGTGGGGCTGGAGGGATCCTGACCCCAACTTGGCCTGGGCCCACCCTTGCAAGGTTAGGACACATTGGAAGAGAAGCAGGGAGGTTTGGGGAAGGGCTCTGTCTGCAACCTGCAGCCCACTGTACTTGAGCGACCCACAAGCCCTCTATGAGCTGATTGGGAGACTATGCTGCCTACACCGGCAAGAGTCAGATCATGCAGGTGTGATGTCTAGCATGTGTGGACCACCTGTGTGCCCAGGCAGGTAGCTCCGTGTCTACAGTGGACACTGACTTCTTTCTGAACCACTCACTTGCCTCAACCTGGCCTCTTCCCGAAGCTCCTTCTCTGGCATTGGGATTTTTGATCTCTCTCAACTGCAGAATTCCCCACATTGTAAAGATACAAGGCAAGATGCACCTGTTCTAGGACACACAGGTGGTCATGGGAGCAAGGCCTGGGTCCCTCATGACAGGGTAGCAGGGACTCCCACCCAGGATGACATACAAGCTCCCATGGACCCTGCCTTACCTGGACCACCACCTGCTGCACCTGTGCTTTGCTCCCTTTGTTCCTTCCCACTCTAGAGTTACCAATCAGGTCTGCTCCAAACCTTCCCCTAGGAAGCCTTCCTTGATTTCCCCTGCCGGAGGGGATCAGCACCCAAGGGCTCCCCCTTAATGCTTCTGATCATTCTGACCAGCTTGAGAGTTATTCCAGGCCTGTTTGAACCCTCCACCTCCCCACTCTCTAGTCGGTGAGCCATGTCAGGGCCATGTTCACCTCTGTATGCCCAGCAGCACCTGCCACAATATTTTGCATGCAACAGGAGCGCAGTGAATGTTTGTTAAGCTGAATTGAAAAACCACGTGATAAATCATTGACAGTAAATGACTAATAAAGTAGTTGGTAGATGAGTAAATAAACAAGTTAATGGATATAAAATGAGTACATAATGAATAAACAGGTACCTAGGTGGGTGATTGAATGAATGAGCAAATGAGGAGTGATGGGAATGGATGGATGGGTCAGTGAGTGAGTAAGTAGAGAGCTGGATGGATAAATGGGTAGATGGAGAGGACTGGTGAATGAGTGAATGGTTTGTGGGTTGACAGATGGATGTGGGGGTGGATTAGTGAGTGGAGGGATAGATAAGAGAGCAAAAATATGGGTGACAGATGAATGGCTAGATGGATGGGTGGATGAGTGAATGGATGGGTGGACAGATGGATGGGTGAATGGATGGATGAACAGGTAGGGTGTGTGTATGTGTTTATGAATGAAGAGGGGTTGACGGATGGGTGGTTGATGGACAGATAAATGGATGGGTGAATGAATGGGTGGATGGGTATGAGGACGAATAAGTGGGGGTTGATGGATGGATGGCTAGGTGAGTGAGTGAGTGAAGAGATAGGAGGACTGGTAACTGAGTAGACAGATCGATGGAGAGGTGGACAGATGGACGGGTGAGTTGGTGGGTGGGCGACTGATAAATAGATCGACGGCTGGATAGGGAGATGTATGGATGAGTAGAGAGACGGAAGAATAAGTGGGTAAGTGAATAGATGGGGTGGTGATAAGTGCACAGATGGACGAGTAAATGGGTGCATAGGTGGGTGGGTGAATGAATGGATGAGTAGACAGATGGACGGATGGGTAATGAATAGGTGGATGGATGGGTAAATGGACGGATGATGAGAGATTGATGGATAGATGGGTAGTTCGATAGATGGCTGAGTAATGATGGAATGGATGGAAGGGAGTGAATGGACAGAGGGATGACTGGGTGGGTGAATGTGTGCGTGGTGTATATGGGCCCACTGGCCAACTTACCACAAGGTTGCCAATGACCATAACGAGCAAGAAGACAAGCAGGCACAGCGACTGCCCAGACACCTCCATGCAGTCCCACATGGTCTCGATCCACTCCCCACAGAGGATTCGGAAGATGATGAGAAAGGCATGGAAGAAGTCCATCATGTGCCAGCGGGGCAGCAGGCCTGAGTCACTGATGCGGTACCTCTGCTCTGAGTAGTTCTTGCCAAAGAGCTGCATGCCCACCACAGCGAAGATGAACACGATGATGGCCAGCACCAGTGTCAGGTTCCCCAGCGCCCCCACTGAGTTTCCGATGATCTTGATGAGGGTGTTCAGGGTGGGCCATGATTTGGCCAGCTTAAAGACCCGCAGCTGCAGAGGGAGGTGTCCTTGTGAGGGGCTCTGGTTCCCGCCGCCCATGGACACCCTCACCCCCGCTAGCTCCTGCCTGAAAACCCAGGGGCCCATGGACACCTGCTTCTCCAAGAGCACACACTGCTGTTTTTCTCTATAGCCTGAGGGCAGCTTTGCTGGGCTCGGCTCTGGGAGTCAGGTCAACATCTCCAGCTTCATCTCCCCAGCTCATTCTTGCTCTTCATCCCCACATCAGCTTCCTGCCCACCTCAGGCTCACTTCTAGGAACTTCCCAGTAGATTTCTCCAGCATGGAATGGCCTTCCTCTTCCAGACTCATCTTCATCACATCAAACCATCTTTGATTTGTCCAATTGCCTCCAACCTTCTCTCCTCTCAGTTATCATGGAGAAGGGGGGCAGGGGCTTAGCATGTATTGAGTACCTGCTGTGCCAGGCCGGTGCTTAGGATGGCTCACCCCACTCAGAGCTCCCGATAACCACATGGGGTCAGCACTATTACTCCCTCCTTGACAGGTGAAGAAGCCAACCCTTAAAGGCGGATAACTTTTCTGAGTCCATTAGTTCATGGCAGTGGAGTCAGGATTAGAAGCTACAGCTTAGACTTTCTCTGCGGCCCTACCATCCTGCCTTTCAAGCCCGCAGTGCACCCACCACCATTGCCCAGACTTCCTCCAGGAAGCCTTCCCTGATCTACTTCCAGCCCCATGTGTGGACCTCTCAGACATTCTGCCCTCAAAGAGTGGTCCACAGACCAGCAGCTTCGGCCTCACCCGAGACCTACTAAATTAGGCGCTGCGGTTTAACAAGATCCCCAGACGATTTGTTGTGTGCATAAGAGTTTCCAAAATGCTGACTCTGAAACCAGCAGGGAGAACCCCAGGAGAGCTGTCAGCAGGCCTGGCTCTACCTGTTATTTGCCATGTGGCTTTTGGGAAATTCATTTCACTTGGGTCTCCTCATCTGTGAAATGGGTACGTAGTAATACTAGCGTCTCTCCTTGGATGCTATGAGGACTAAAGGGGGCATGGTGAGCCATACAGGGCTTTGCAAGTCATCAGGATGGCCATCCCAATAGTTTCCCCAGAGGGATGTCTCCCATCCTGCCCCCCCACCGTGTACCCCCCACATCACTAGCACTGGGGTACGCAGCAAATAGCTCTCGGGCGAAGGCATGATGGATCAGAGTAAGAGAGACTGAGTGGTGACCTCAGAGGAGGCTGCCTCAGTGCCCCAGGCCCCCACCCCGCCCCCCTGCAGTAGGCCCAGCCAGGTACCAGGCGGAAGGAGCGCAGCACTGATAGGTTGCCCATGCGGGACAGGCCCAGCTCCATGAGGCTCAGGATGACAATGATGCTGTCGAAGATGTTCCAGCCCTCCTGGAAGTAGTAGTAGGGGTCCAGAGCGATGATCTTGAAGGTCATCTCTGCGGTGAAGATCCCCGTGAAGACCTGAGGAGGAACAGAGAGATCAGGGTTCCCAGTGTTTGGGCTGGAAGGACCCTCGGGCCAGGAGGGGTGCTCTGCTCCCTGACTCTTGCTCCCGTAGGGTCCCCCTTCTGGGCTGCCAGCTGTGACTGCACCCTGGCTCCCAGTGGGTGCTTGCTCAGCCATGGCCCACTTGGGGCTACGTGCGGCCTGATGGCCCAGCTCCCTCTTGGGCTCACCATCCACGATCTGCCAGGCTGGCCCTCAGAAACAGCCAGGCCCACCTCAGGCCCTGCAGAGACTTAGAGCTCCAGGAAGCACCTGGGGGCAGGGGGGCTGCGGTGGGGGTGACGCAACCCAGCCTGACACCTTCCAGCCCGCGTCACCACAGGAAGCACGCTCACTCCACATGTGCCAAATACATGCATCCCCGCAAACACTCATGGCTTTCGTGGCTCAGGGCCTCTGCCCATACTCTTCCCGCTCCATCTCGTCCGCACACTGAACTCCTGTCTCTGTAATGACAGCCACCCAACTCTTCTTGGGAGCATGACCACGTGCCGGTCCCGGGCTGGAATGCTCTGCATATGTTGCTTCTTTTAAACCACCCAATAACCCGATGAGGGAAGTATCATCGTCCCCACTTTGCAGGGAAGGAAACTGAGGCACTGAGAAGTTAAGTAATTTGCCTGCGGTCACGTAGCTAGTGTGCCTGAGAACCAGGAAATGAACCCGCTGTTGTTCTTCAAGACTTAGAGCAACCCCCTCTGCCTCCTGGAAACACCCCTGAGGTAGGCAGAGGTGGGTCCATGTGTTGACACAGTTTGGAGCACACCCCCCCGCCCCCCCCCGCCCAGCGCCAGCCCAGGCCAGCAGAGTCCTATGGCCAAGGAGCCCACCGTGTGGCGGGCCACGCAGCCGAGACCATGTCCAACCGCTCCGCAGTGTGCCAATAGCCTCGAGGGGTGCGTGGTTCCTGGCGGAGGGGATGGCCTAGGAGGGCATGGCTGGCAGGAAGTTGGGCCTGCATACGGGGCCTTCTTGGAGCCGAGGGGGTTATTGTGAGGGTGGTGAGGAGTCACCGAGGTCTTCTGTGGGTGAGGGCTGAGGTCAGAGGGCCAGACCATTCCTGGGGACAGTACCAGGGCTGTGAGAGAGGAGAGGTCAGAGACAGGGAGGCTGAGTAGCTTGCTGGAGTCAGCAAACAGGGGGGATCTCCCAGGCCTCGGCACCCCCTGTGGGGGCTCCGTGCTGAAAGAAGGGAAGGAGGGATACCTGACCAGCCCTTCCCCACGCTGCTCAGATAAGGCCCTATGGCAGTGGGTTGGGGGGCAGGGATTGCTATTGGCCCAGGGGGCGGGGCACCAGGATGGCCGGTGGGCACTGCCACACAGGGCACCACCCGCCAGCCAGCCCTTATGACTTCACGGCTCCCGTCAGGGCTTGTGCCCAGAGAGAACTGTTCTCCCACCAGCTGGGGTCATAGGGAAGGGAGGGCCCATGATATCGCTCAGCCTCAGCTCCAGTATCTGGGCTCCCCTCACGTGTGGGGAGGCATCCTTGGATTCTTCTGCCCCCTTCCTCAGCACCCAAGCTTGTCTCTGGGTTCTGTACCCATAACCTCTCCATCCCCTTTGACCCCATCCCCTACTGCTCTTCCAGCCTGTTTGTCTCCTCGCTGTTCCTTCCTCAGGGCCTTTGTACCTGCTGCTCCCTTTCCCTGGGCCATCTCCCCTCCCCCACCCACAGGGCTCACTCCCTTCAGGTCTGGGCTTAAAAGCCACCTAATGGATGAGGCTTCCTACACTTAAAATCATGACCCCCCCCCCACCAAACTCCTCCTCCCTCCTCTCTGCTTTATATTTCTTTCCTTCACTTACCACCATGTGACAAACTGTATATGTAGCTACGGATTTGGCTAGACTGTAAGCTCCACAGGAGGGACCTTTTCTGTCTTATTGGTACAAGAATAGTGCCCAGCCAAGTAGGCAACCTACCAATATTTGTTGAATAAGCATACACATAGTTGGATCTTCGACCTTCAGCCCCGGTGGTGTCCCGTGTCCCTGCCCTGGGTCTCCCTGAGAACCCCTAAGGGTGGGGCCTGGGAAGCCCCTTCCTCTCACCCCTGCTGGCCCTCAGGTCTCCCCCATCACCTGTCTGAGCAATGCCAGGGTGGGTGTGTTCTTAAGGCCTGTTCACCAGACCCATGAGCGTTAACACTCATTTCTGGGAAAGGAGCTCAGGAAAGATCCTGCCTCACTTTGCCCAAGCGCAAGTCTGTTTTGGCAGCAAGAGAGCAGATATTAGTTGACATTGGAAGTCAGAAGAAAAGGACAGCAGAAGCTCTTGGGGAATGCCTCTTGGGGGAAGTGGTAAGGAATCAACAGCATCACCTGGAAGCTCTTTAGAGATGCAGAATCTTGAAGACCCCTGACCTGCTCGAGCAGAACCTGCATTTTGACTAGATTCCCAGGTGATTAGAAGTTTGAGAAGTGCTATTTTTGAGTTCTCAAACGTGGTGCACTTTGGAATCACCTAGGGAGCTTTAAAAATACAGATGCTTGGGTCCCACTCCCTGAGATTCTAGTTAAAGTGGACTGGAGTGTAGCCCAGGAGCTGAGTGTTGTTGTTGTTTTTTAACTTCCTAGGTGATGCTAATATGCCGCTAAGCTTGCGAACCACTGCTTTACAAGTGCATACATTTTGGTGCCAGACTCCTCCTTCCAAAGGAGAGCCCAGGCTTTCTAAGGCCCTGTGATTGAAGCTTGATGGCTTAAGACATGTAGAGAATGGCAGCAAGACTCAGGTTCCAAAGCTGGGTCTGCCACTGTGTGATCTTGGGCCAGTTTCCTCATCTGCCAGAGCCTCGAGTGTCCTCATATGTAAAATGGGGTAAGGACAGCTCCATCGGACGTTACTAAGAGTTAGAGCTAATGGATGCAAAGCGGATGCTCCCTACCAGAGGGCCATTATTGTTATCACAGGCAGAATTTATTATGACTGATGAGAGGAGCCAAGAGCGCCAGGCCCAGGCAGGGGCTGCCTTCAAACAACTCTGCATGTTTTATAGGCTCACTGGGATCTGGCAGGCAGAGACTGGGAGGGTGGGGACCAGCTTTCCCTGACTCCCGGCAGGAGGGTCACTGAGCAGTGCTGATGGTGGCTTCCCAGGAAGTGGCGGGACTTTTGGGAAACTTCAAATTCTCCTTGACCTTATTTCTTTAATATCTTTAACGTAAACTTGCTTTTAAAGCTTAATTCCCGGGAACATCTTCAATGCCAATTAAACATGATCTATGGCATCTCTTTTCCTCCCTCTTTCCCTCCCTCCCTTCCTTCCTGAACAGATGTGGAATATTCCACTGCACAGATGTGCCACAGTATTTCCCTGTGATGTGCATTCTTTTGTTCCTATTAAAAACATTACCATAATAAATATCCTTCCACATACTTGTTTAAAAACATCTTGCCCAATTCTTTTCTTAGGATAAATTTCTGGAAATGGAATTGCATAGTCAATGAGCATTTTTAGAGATTCTGACACATACATTTTAATTGCACAATGGTTGGAGATTGAAGGATGCACAATACCCTGTCTTTGCTGTGACTTGCTTTGAGACATAAAATGTGGTCATTCTGTAAATATTCCATGTGAATTTTGTTTAACTGTTGGGTGCTGTGCCCTGCACATTCATTAAGTCAAGCTTTTCATTTCTTTTATTCAAGTCCCCTAGATCCTTGGTGACCTTTTGTAAGCTTGACCCATCAGTTATGGAGGGTGGTCTCTCACTAAGTTTGTGGTCTTGTTAAATTGATCTTATTTTCTGCTTTACATGTTTGGAAGCTATGTAATTTGCTGCATCCAGGTAGAATTATAGGTTTCTGGTGAATTGTTCCTTTCATCTTTATGTTTTGGATCTCTTTATCCCTCAATAATACTTTTTCTTTAAAGTTTATTTTGTTTGATACCAATATAAGTCCATCAATTTTCTTGATAGTATTTGCCTGTTCTATCTTTTTCCCATCTCTTTTTCTTCAATCCCTTTTAGGGATTTGGATCCCAAAATATATTTGGGTATCTTCTGTAAAAAACATATAGCCGCGTTTGATTTCTTTACCAAACCAACAATCTGTCGTTTAACTGGTGACAGCGGTCCCTACCTCTATTTATTATGATTTCTGGTATATTTGGACCTATGTCTTCATTTTATTTTGTGTCTTCTGTTTTTGTTTTTGTTTTTTTTTTCTCTCTCCTTTGTTTTCTTCTATTAGATTGAGTTATAAAATTTCTCCATTTTCCTCTCTTCTGGCTTGGCAATTAAAACTTCCCATTCCTATCCTCTTAGAGGTTACCCTAAAAGTTTTAACAATCAGGCTTGAGTTAATAACAATCTAAGGTATTTAATATTTCAGAGTATATATGAACTTTAGCCCGTCTTACTTCCAATCCCCACTCCATGCCTATTTTATGTGCCACAGGGCCAGTGAGCAATGCTGATGGTGGCTTCCCAGGAAGTGGGGGGGATGTTAAAGTTCCAATGTTTTAGTTCCTACTTTTTATACCCTCCATCAGCCATTCTTATTACTATTGTGTTTACAGCCAATGCTTGCTTAGCTTTACCCACATTCTTACTATTCCTTTCAAGTTCTTCTCAAATCCTGATTCTGCAATCATTTTACTTCTTTCTGAAGTACAAATTTTTGTTATTGTTTCAGAGATACAATTTGTATGTGGTAGAATCTCAGTATTTAGTATCTTTTGTAAATGGCAGGACAATGGATATAGAATTCTAGAGTGTCCACTGTTTTCTCTCAGAACTTTGGAATGATTATTCTGCTGTCTTCTGGATTTTGTTGAAGCTACTGTGGAGTTTGCCATCTATCTAACTGCTGTTCCTTAGTAGGCGATCTTTCTTGTTTTGGTTGCTGTATGATGTCTTTGCTTTTGACGTTCCTTGCGTCTAGATATTTTATTTGTCCTGTGCAGGACATAATGCAATTCCTGAATCTCAGGGTTCATT